ACACCCTGCATTCAGTCTATGCAGTTGCAAGCTGGGGATACTGGTATGTTTTATTGTGCATTGCTCAATTTATTGACATAGATGTTTTGAGAATGGGTAAGCTATATGGACATTTTTTCCTTAAAAAAAAAAATACAGTTTGTAACAATCACAGAATTTGGAAATTTTTATGTTCTGCGTTGGTCTATCAGTGTTTCTTCAAAAGTCTTCCTTTGGACTGGACTCTCCTTTTGTCAAGATAGCCATAAAGCCTGAAGGGTTTTTCCCTTGCATTGCCCTTCTCTGAACCTACTGTGTGAAACAAGATGCATGTCCCTATCAGAAAAGAATTGAACATCTTTCAAGATACTAGTGGATATAACCTTTCAAGATACTGGCAGCTTACAATTTTATTCAAGTTCCATGTTTTCTTCCTCTTATAAATATGCTTGTGAAGTTCATTAAACATCTTTTGCTTCATTTTCTCTTTTAGAAAATGGAAGTCTTATTTGACAAAAGTTGACTGCCGTGAGCTATGTACTGTCAACATTGCTCATCAATCTCCGAATGGCCTTTGTTTGATGAAAAGTTGATTTTATTGCCACTTCTAACATTGTGGAGACCCTCTGTTGTGTTTTTATTTTATTACTACATTCTAGGGCTCAAAATATTGATAAAAAAAATATTTTCATAAAAATGCAGTGACATTTAGTCGTATGGACCCTGAGGGGAAACTTATAATGGGGTTTCGGAAGGCTGCAAATTCTTCTGCAGTGCAGGTAACAGCCACCTTCGTTTCATACAGAAATGAAAAAACTCAAGCTAAAGTATTTTATATATACTTTTGGCAAAAAAATGGGCAAAACAGCCATATAATATTCAGTTGCCTATGGAACAGGAACCTCATCCATCTAATATTCCCAATGGCAATCGTTCAAGTGAAACTTCCTACCCTGGTGTTTATGAGAATTTACCTGTATTAAGTGGCTACTCTGGTCTTCTTCAGTCATTAAAAGGAAGTTCGGAAACCCATCTAAATGCACTGTCTAAAAAGTGGAATTCAGCTTGTGGGGACATGAATTGGCATAATATTGAGATGCCTGGAGGCAGGAAGAGAGAAGGAATGCTTCTGCCACCAGCACTGGCTCCAGAGAAGAAAAAGACTCGAAATATTGGGCCAAAAAGTAAGAGATTGCTTATTGACAGCCAGGATGCACTGGAGCTTAAACTAACCTGGGAAGAGGCTCAGGATTTGCTTCGCCCACCACCCTCAGTTAAGCCAAGCATTGTCATGATTGAAGATCATGTATTTGAAGAGTATGAAGTGAGTAATTTCTTGACAAAAAAATGTGATTCTTGCAAATTTTATGAAATCCACACATTTTATTGACGAATTTCACGGATTTTTCCATTTTGGTTCTCACGTATGCAACAATATTAAAAAGAAGTTGATGTTTGTGTCCCCCCACCTCCAAAATTTGCTTCAAATAATCAAGAGCCAAGTGGTTTGTTGTTGTGACTTTATGAATTCTTTTGCTCTCCAGATTATGTCATTCAAGTGGTGTCTAATAGTTAGATATTTATGGCAATTATGATGTGAAAGAAATGTTCAGAAATCAGTGCAGCTGCATAGCATTAAGTTCAAACCTTTCTTTTCAGTTAATTAACTATTAAGCTAATGAAAAGCTAAATGAAATTATATAAAGTGATCTGGTGCCCACATCAATATATGTTCAGACACTAGTAAGTATTAGATTATATTGTTTTAGTCTCTCAGTTCATATCATTTGTTTAAGGCATGATAGTTTGTTTTTGTATGTGTGTGTGGGTTGGGGGGGGGGGGTAAGTCTGAAGCTTGTGAAATTGAGCTTTTAAGTTATATTGATGAACTTTTTTCTTATAGAAAGTATCTACTTAAAGGAAATACATGGATAAAATAAAACATATACAGCCTGTTCAAAAGGATCTGGAAGAGTTGGCTTGTGAAATTCCTATACATGGCTTCTTGCAGGAACCTCCTATCTTTGGGAAGAGAAGTATATTTGTTGCCCGGTCAACTGGGTAAGATGCATATTGTTGCCATTTCTGGTAGTAATCACGAGTGTCTTGGTTTTTTTTTTCCCCTTACCATTATCCCTTTCACATGTATGTTTCTATTATTTTTCATATCTTTCTTTTTCCAAGTTGTGCTAATACAGCATGAATTGGTGGATTAACCTTAGGATACATGAACAATGGACTCAATGTGATAGTTGCTCAAAATGGCGAAAGTTGCCTGTAGACGTGCTTGTTCCCCCTAAGTGGACATGTGGGGACAATTCATGGGATCAGAGCAGGTGGGCAGAAGACCTGTTAGCGCAAAGCAGTTATTAACAAATCATGTTCTTAACAGGACCTTGATGTTTTTGCAATGTTGTCAACAGGTGTTCATGTTCTGCTCCCAGTGAACTCACCGCTAGGGAACTAGATAATCTTCTGAGATTAAATAAGGGTATGTCTCCAGTTATTGGATCTCTCTAAATGTATACGGTGCATATAGTCTCCACTGCATGGTACATTCTTGAAGAAAATTGTTTCATCAGTGTAATCGCTGTATCTATGTAGCTCTGTATGATCGCAGTTTCACTAGATGGTTACAAAAAACATTGCAAATTTGCAATCCTGTTAGCGTGAAAGCATTTACTAACATAATGCGTAGATTTTCATTGGTGAAGAAAACTATATATGGTGGTTCTTCATTCGTGGAATGCATCGGGTTTTGGAAATTATAGTGAGTTGAATAAATTGTCGATCACACATACACAAAAAAAGTTGCAAGTGATTAATTCATAAAACGTAATCAGCGGCCTGATGAAGAATATGAAAACCCATTAGAATTACAGATTCGACAAATCATGCTTTACGGCCAGGGAATGTTGGTTTTTATTAATAAATTCTGGATTGGTGATATTTCATTCATCATTTTTGTATAGAATTCAAGAAACAGAGAATGGCGGCTGGCCACAGGCTGTCCTTGGAGCGGCATGCATCTTCTGGACTGGATGCTTTGGCTAATGCTGCGATACTCGGAGACGATGCAGGTGACTCTAGCAGGACACCAGTTGCTACCACTACAAAACACCCTCGGCATAGACCTGGCTGCTCCTGCATTGTCTGCATCCAGCCACCTAGTGGAAAGGGAAAACACAAGCCTACATGCACCTGCAATGTATGCATGACAGTTAAACGCCGGTTTAAAACCCTGATGATGCGAAAGAAGAAGCGTCAATCTGAACGTGAAGCAGAGATTGCTCAGAGAAATCAGCAATCGTGTGGACCCAGGGATGAATCGGAAGTAGAAAGTACTTCTAGAAATTTAACTCCAGCTGATGGTTCTGAGACTGAAGCACGGGTACCAAACGAGTTGGAATCAAGAAGTCAAACCGATGTGGCTGAAACCAGCAAGGGACAGTTAGACTTGAACTGCGATCCGGATCGAAATGACATGCAGGCTGGACCCAGCAATGCTAGCATGATGAGTCTACTTCAAGAAGCAAGTCTCCCTCTGGAAACATACCTGAAGCAAAATGGTCTTACTAGCTTAGCATCAGAGCAACAAGCAAATTCAGCTTCCAATGTGCAGGCACAGACAGCTAATGAGAAAGAAGGGAGACATAACGAGGATTGCAGTGCCGCTTCTGACAGAGAGGAGCGAGAAAGCAGCCATGAAGAGAACAGTGGTCAAGACAAAAGCGAAAGTAATCCCCCTTCATGAAGTCCTTACCTTTCGTTCATTTTCCTTTCCCGTTTTCCTGCAATTTGCTACACAAGCTAGCTTCTTACGTGGGGTTTCAAATTTAAAGGCTGCTTCATTTGGATGTTTATATGTTTTCTTGCTTTGCCGCATATATTTTGTATCCTGTGGCCTTGTGGGAGTGTAAGCCAATAATTATATGTGCCGAATCTTGTGTTTTAGGCTGTAAACTGCAGTATACTGAAGCAAGAGCTTGAAAGGAATCATTTACAAGTTCATTTGTCATTTGCCATAAACAAGTGTCTAAAAGATCTCAATTGGTTTCGACGAACAATAACAAGTTTTAACTTATCATGTGAGGTTAGCTATGTGATTGAACGATGCCATTATGCTATATTATTAATCACGTTTTTTAGAATATTGTTAATCAAGAGGTATTGTTCAACAATTTCTGTGAGTGCTCTCTAGTCTTCCTCTTTCATTAGCTAACACTGACAGCATAATGCCCATAAAAATTCACTATTTAAGCAAGCACAAGGCTCACAAAGCATCCAATATAGGAAGATAGATGTCAGCAACAAATCTATGGTTCATCAAAATTTGCATGCAAAAAATTCGTAGTTATTTTTGTAAACATAGGAAACTAAATAAAAGAAAAAGAACATAATCTCAAAGCAAGAGGAATGGATGAAAAGAATAAGAATAAGAAGTACATGTCATCCAAACTTTCTTTTGGGTGTTGCCCCGTGGCCTTGTTCAAACATCCAACCCTGGAAGAAATTAGACAGAAAAACTTTCCAGACCTTACACCGAATTTGATAATACCACTTGCTATATATTTTGTGATTTTGTAATTTATATTGATATTGATTATTGATTTAAAGAATTCTGAACTATACTGGTACTGTTAAATTTTGAGCTACATGACCTCCAAAGACAGTGACTTTCAAACCAAAAAAGGGTCTGATCCTGACCATATATCATGAATAATGTAGCCAGAGACTACATTAAATCTCGTGTTCTTTTTTCACGTTTGACTCCATATTTTTTCACCATCCAATGCCAGTCATCGAGTCACGTCGTTACTTGAGTTGTTATCCCACTTCTCCATCTTTTCAAGCGTGGAATTAATTTAATCATTAAAAAAATGCTTCAAAAAATAAATAATAAAAATAAGATACAAAAAAGATTTAGATCTTTGGAGAACTCTAATGCCTTTGTTGATGAGAGCAGAGAACATGTACCTGTGTACATAAAAGTAAAAGGGGAAAATTGTAGTACGCAAAGATTGAAAGGAAAGAAGGATGGAGAATATCACCTTATGAATTTTTAATAATCTTTCCACTATCTACAAAAGAACATCCTATCACCATAATACTGTAAAAGGTGGCAGAACCGCATCTTTAATTCTTTATCCGCTATGAACTAGTGTAATCACATCAATGAAAAATTTAAAAACAAACGTTATAGACAGTCAGTATCCTACAACACTAGCCCTCCTAGACGCTGAGGAAGATGACTTCTGGCTTAACTGCCGATCAAGCTCATCCAAAGACAGCATGGAGGAACACCCTCGCAATGGAAGCAAGTTGGGCCCACCAGACCATCTTGGAGGTGAACCAGATGGTAGTGTTCCTGAAGGCACTTGTGGTGATGGAGAGAGACTCATCTTAAGACTCGGTGATCTTGACATCTGTTTTCCAGAAATCGCAGCAGGCTCTTGCAGAGGAAACCGAAGTGAGTACTTCATATCCTGCACCATTTTCAGATGCTCAACAACAGTTCTCATGGTGGGTCTTTCAGATGGCTCCTTTTGAAGGCATCTTAGTGCAATATCAGCTATTGTCCTTGCTGCTTTGGAAGGAAAGCGACCTTTCAGTTGAGGATCCATGATCAAGGACAGTCGACAATCGTCGGCTAGGAAGGGCCAGCTCCACTTGACTAAATTTCTCTCTTCCTTGGGGTGACGGCTATCCAGATTTTTTCTTCCAGTCAGTAATTCCAGAAGAAAAATGCCAAAGCTCCAAACGTTGCTCTTTGGAGTTAGCAATCGTCTTTCCAAAGTCTCCACTGATAGGTTTCCCACCGCCTGCACATTAACTAGTTTATGAATAGACTGAACGGAAACAGAACTTATGCAATTATCCTCCGGGACAGAAATGAGAAATTTTGAAGCACATGATGCAGAAAATATCAGTTTAATGTATCAAACAGTTTTAAGGTTTCCTAGACGACTTTAAAGTCTGTAAAACAGGAAATTCATCACTGAATAGTTATGGTGAAGGACTTCAGCTTGGAACTAGTAGTGTTGGACAACAATACCAACTGAAGGATGAAAGGTATAAAAGAAAGTTATTGGCATTCAATGAGATAAAAGAGCCTGGGAAACCAATGTTATCAATTATTAATAAAATAATATAAAGAAGGAAAGAATTGGTGCAGAAATCATCAGTGAGGTTCCATAGGCTGAATCTTTTCCCAACTTCATTACTTAGCTACAATTTCCGCAGGTTCTTAACCAAAACTGCTTAATATTATCGGTGCTAAATTTTTCATCATTTTCAGCAATGAACTGAATTGTCAAACACTATGAAGTCAGAACTTACAGATGAACTGCTAGGAATCTCTTCTTCAGGAATATGTCCAACACAACCATATCCCGAAAGCTTTGCACTGAAATCTTTGTCAATCTGTATGTTGGCTGTAGAAAACTCATTATACATTGCCTGAAGATATGACGAGTTATATCAGAAACAATATAAACAAAGATACCACTTTGCCAAAGTAGCAAAAGAGGGCTAATAAAACTAAAAATATAGTTGCATAAATGATTGCATGAAAAAAGACTCACCAAAAATACAAAAAATAAAAAAAAAATACCTGGAAGGGCCCTTCTTCATGCAAGAAAGTAAGACCTTGGGCAGCACATAAAGCAATTCTCATTCTTGTATTCCAATCAAGTGGTGGACCATCAGATCTCCCATACAACAAGCGGTCCAAGCTTCCATGAAAGAGCCTTTCATAAACCAACATTCTCTGTTCTGAACCCTCACGAGCATGATAACCTAGCAATTTGCAGAGGTTTGGATGTTGCAAAGATGCAATAATGTTAACCTCATTTATGAATTCCTTGAGGGCCTGAAAAAGAGAGACAGCACTACAGAACTTCAGAATTTCATTAGGTGCTTTGAATTTCTTGAATCATAAAGTCAGCTTAAGGTTTCCAATGATTTATAATTACAACTGAAACCGCAACATAGCAGCTAGTTAACATTATTTGGATTCACAAAATAACATAATATGGAGGACAAGAGGAAAAAAGGTCGGACACTACACAAAAGCAAGTCAGGTGCAGACTGCAGAGTCCTATCTAATGGCCAGCACTTCAATGCCAGTTGAAAATTTCTATGCCACAAGTATTCATGCCCCATATATGAAAACTACAGAGAACAGGATTCTGGCATTTCTAGGATGAGGCATAAGGCATTAGTTCTTTTAGTCATGCTAAGGCGCATATATGCTATTAAGATATTCTATTGGCAACTGCTAGGCATGCAGCTAGAAGTACTTCCGTTTGGAGAATCAAGTACCTGAGTAGAAGGGTGAAGCCGAGTGACAGTAGCTTCAAAAGTTTTTGAACTTGAAACATCATCACCAAAGGAAGCTTTATACATGGTAGAAGAAAGACTTTCTGACATGAATCGATCTGAAGAGAAATTGTGGCAAGCAGAAGCAATTTCCTCGAATGGAAAGTTTCGTAGGGAACTAGCAGGTGGCAGTGGCAAAGGTCCAGAAGCATATAGAGGACCAGAAGCATGTAGAGGACCACTAACAGTCCCTAACTTAAAGCTGCCTGTAGCCTTCAATGCACCACCACCCTGAGGAGATGGGAGAGGTAAGGGTTGTGAAGTGGATACACGCTGCTCCTTTATCAATCCAGCTCGGTGTTTTGACTCTTCTTGTTCCTCATACTCAACTGACACCAAAGCATCTTGTTCTGCTGCATCAAGAGTTGAAGGAGCGGATAATGCTCGTATTCTATTTTTTGTGATTTTATTACAAGGTTGAATGGGTTTCACTCTTGTCTTGAAACTAGGAGGTGCAGACTGCAATGATCTAGTATGAGTTCGAGGTTCGGGCAATATGGTTGCTACTCCATGCTCTTTATGATTGACATGTTTTATAGGGATGATCTGTTCAGACCTTTTCTTCTTACTTCTCAAGACAGAGAAGCACCTCATCCTGCACGCAGAACTCAGTGATTGCGTGGAAAGGTCTACTTCTGCCAAGACAGAATGAAAAGAGAAAAAAAATCAGACAACGGAACAAGCTTAGTTCAATCAATCAAATTTTGACAACCAACGAGAAAGGACTTCAATGTAAGTTTTCCAAAGACATCATTTTGCAAAATTTCACCAACTTATTCTGAGAAGAAAACATAAGTTAACGTTTTCTAACTCTATGATGACCCGGGAATAAGTCCCATATCAGCCGGAGGTGAGACACAAAGCTCCCATTAACAGTGAGAGGTTCTCCCCCTTAGATGGCTTTTAGGTTTGACTTTACCTCAAAATCATATGGGTGCCAAACTTAACAATACGATGGTAATTATCGAATTATGAATGGAAACAAATAAAATCTATCTCTCGTCTTCTATTTTATTTCCATCTGTCTTTTCATTCCATTCAAGTCAATACTTGCTCCCAATTAACCCCAACGCTTCGGGAGCAATTATGCTCCCGCTATCCGCAAATCACCATGAATAAAAATTAATCAATTGATCAAGTAGAAATCTCCTTTCCATGGTTGCATCCATCACATTCTCAGGAACAGAATAATAGATTATTTTAATTTGCCATCTCATTGGCCCATCAGAGACAACAGAATTCAAGGCGGGAAAAAAATACCAGAACCGAAGCTGCCTAGCAAATTCACAATAGAAAACCAGCAAATTACGGTAATCAAAACGAAAGGAAGAAAAGAATCAAACCTTTGATGTAGCAGGTCGCGGAAGTCAGGAGGGTTAAGCTATAGCCGGAGAGGAAATGGTGAAATTGGAAATTATGGTTTTGATTCGGAGAAGAAAAGCCCTTATGCAGTCAAAAAAAGCCGACGGGAAAGTCTGAGAAGTAAAGATTTAGAGAGAAAACGAAGAAAGAGAAGTTAGAAGAAAGTTGAACATTTGAATACAAAAGAGAGTCAAAGAGAAATGAGCAGTGGTCAAACCTGCCAAAGACAAATTTAGTTTTATTTATTAATAACAAATATATAATTCTTATTATTTTATTATTACCATAGATCTCGCCAATTTCCTTTTGACCATTTTGTCCCCCACAGTATTTTTTCCGGTTCACGTTTTTTTTATAGAATGCTTAGGAGTATGAAATAATTAACTACAATCAAATTATCAACGAGATTTGTTGATATTGTAGAATTAGAGTGCTTTATAGTGATTAGATGTCGGTGCATTCATAAAAGTTGAGAAATGATTCGTATTATTTATTCGTATATATGTCTTAAGTGGATATCAATTAATGATTGATTATTGATTATATATTAAAGAAGGGAGAATATCAGCAAAAGATCTTGGAAGCAATTTAATTTCATAAAAAAAATACTAGCAAGTAAACATTAACTGATTAATAATTAATAAAAAATTATTGTTTTAATAAGTGTCTAATTTGTTCAAATCCTTAATAGATATAAATTTTTCAGAGGTTATTTATTGATATTCTCCCATTAAAGAATTGGTAATAATATTAAAATCTAAAATTTATCAAAAAGTTATGTCCCAGATAGAATGATACTTTTACTTTTAAAGAAGAAATGAATGACAGTTTGATAAAATTTTCTAATACATATATATAATTATAATTATAATTGTCGTATTTGTTTAAACCAGTCAATCATAAATCATCAAATGTTAGTGAACAATAAAAAAAAATTTAAATAGCATTGAAAAAATTATACGGAGAAATGTTTGTTTCCCTCTGCTTCTAGAGAAAAACGTGTAGATTCTAGTTGAAGACAAGGATGACCTATTCGGTAAATTCACTAAGGGGCATTGGAATTTCAAGGAAGTACAACTCCATTGATGAAGTGACAGGCTGGTCAAAGTTTAAAATCTAATTATTATTATTATTATTATTGAAAAAGCAATCTGGGTCAAACTAATTGCCTTTCAGGCTAACATCTCCCGTCCGCGTTAGCAACTGGCAGTGAAATCTACGGCCAAACGGCTTCCACGTTCGACCTTTATTTTCTAACATCAACAATTTTACACAAAAAAATTCAGTTAAATTCAACCACCCTCCATTATTTCAAGGAAAGGCCAAAAGTCAAACTTTTTTGCAAAGAACTTTGACCGTAAAATAATTTCTTTTGATTAAGAGTTGCACACGTGGCGATTTTAAATGGCCGAATTAGATGCACCGCATCGTCTCGTCTCCATCTTTTGATCTTCTGACTAACAGATTCTTGCTCATCTTCATCGGATTCAGACGAACAAACCCCACACTCGTCAGAGACTGAAGAATCAACCAGAATGCAATCTATTGTTGACGAGCAATGTTCTGGTTCAGGGTCAGGCCTCGTTTTGGCCGCAATCTTCTGGTTCAGGGTCGACCATTCTTGCTCGTTTTGGACTGAAGAATCAATTCCAGATTATCGCCCATGGCTTTAATCTTCTGGTTCAGTGCGTGGGAAGTTCTCACCCTGGAACCCATGAATTGAGAAAGCTCTTCAAAAACTTGTTCATCGAAAGAAGTGGGAAGTCAGGCAGTTGGACTAGATTGTGGCAGTTGGAGGCTTAGATGCTGAAGTAATTCCATCTTGCAAATGCTTGGGGAAAGCTCAGTTAAATTATCTCAGTGATTGAGTGTGAGCTCTGAGAGATTTGGGAAGACCTCAGACAAATCTGTCGTTTCCCCAATCCACATTATCACTATCAAAACCCTCAAATTTGGCACTCTATCAATGAAAGGGGGCAAGAAGAATTCACTGGCGGAAAAAGATGGTGAATTTTAGTGAAGTCGCAAGGAGAACCTGCATAAGAATTTTGATGCGGTCGAGCGGAGCCGTGGCGGTCTTGACAGCAGTGCCGACGACGAAATGTTTCTGGGCCTTTGCGACGCGAAAGACGACGAGGTGCGAGCTGCTCGGATCTGGAGAGATCAAGCTGTGGTAGGTGGATTGATAAACTACATTATTTCCTTCATTTTTATTTTTTTTATTCTTAATTTTTGGCGTTTATTTTGAATATTTTGAACATTTTAAATATCATTTAAATTTACTGGTCTTGATAAAAAAAAAAGTATAAACGACAATAATTTTTGAAAGAATTAATTTGACACATGAAAATAATTTGAGCAGCACAAAATTAGATTTTTACATGAGATATTTGATAATTCAATGTGCAAAGCATAAGTGAAAAATAAAGAGGAGTTCAAGACAAACTTGTCAACTCTTAATTTCTTATTTTATTTTTAAATTTTTATCTTAAAAAAATTGTTATAAAAACCTCACTGTCAAATTAATTGCTAAAAAGGAATTCGGTACTTTTGGAGGAGGTCAATTGTTGGCATTAATTATTGAAGGTTAAATTATATAAATGCCCTTCTTATAAAAAAAAAAAGCAAAAATGGAGCAATATCTTTTGCTGTTAATATGTCACGAGATCTTTCAATGTCAATAATTTCATATTAACACTCAATACGAAATCCTTCAATGTTAATATGTCAAAGAAGGTCATATGAAGGGGTCTTCAGTTATATATGCAACATTTTTTTTTATTATATGCATTTAAATTTTTATTATATGCAATAAAACTTTTATTTATTTGAATAATATCTTTTGATAATCTGAAATTTTTTAACTTAAAATTATTTTGAAATACTAGAAGCAAAAATTTTCAATTATATACAATGATTCTTCCACTATATATATTTGAACTTTAATTATATGCAATAAAATTTTCACTTATTCAACCAAGATTTTTACATATTCAAATATTACTTATTAATTTTTCTTATAGATATTTTTGAAAGCACATGTAATTTTTCTTTCTAGATATGCGATCGGTCTTCAATGAAAAGTAAATTTCTTCCACATTTTCAAGTAACACTTGCATATTTGAATGTCATTCATTAATTTCTCTTATGAATATTTTTGGAGGTCTATGTCATATTTGTTCCTCGATATGCGACTAATCTTTAATGAAATGCATATTTTTCATATATTTAAAGAACACTTTTTTATATTCAAATAAATGGAAGCCTATTTGCAATTCCTAGAAGTGATATTCATATATTCAAAATTGATATTCTAAAAATGTGATTAAATATTCTACAAATTTACTTATTTTTCATGAAAATGCCAAAAGGATATTCTTAAAATGCAAACACATTCTTAAAAATTGCTCATTTTTCATTAAAATCTGTTTAGATATTCTAAAAATCAAGTATTAGAAATGAAACAAAGTCCGTAAACAACACATTGAACAACTTTATTCCTTCACGTTGACAAAATGCATGGTTCATGTTTTACATTTTAAATATAGTCTAAAATAATTCTATTTTACATTCTATGTAGCAAAATGATTAAACATCAACAAATATTCAATTATAAGAAAAATAACAGCTGAAGCAAAAAATTAAACATGTATACAAATAGAAGTTATAAAAAGTAGAATTCCATATCCTTAAATGTCCATACACATAGTCATGTATGCCTTAAAAATGAAAACAATTTCATAGACATAAACATTTGTAAAAGACTCATCCTAATCTATTTGTAACATCCTCAAAATTTAAGCTTGATTAATTAAGCTTCATTAGAGTAATTAAGTTTATTAGTGAGATGTGTGGCCAGAGAGGTTTAATGAATGTGTTTAGTTGTAATTGCAGCCTTAAATGCAAATTCGAGGTGAAGTCGGGTCACTCAGATATGAAAGAGGAAGAAAATATGAAGGAGGAGGTTCTGCACTGCACACCGTGGCTTGTGGTTCATTCATAGCAATGCACGTGAGTGAAATAGTCAAGATAGGCCTTTTTATGCCATGCACCATGGCGTATGATGCGTCTACTTTAACATGTAGTCACTTTTCTGCAGAAATAAGAATGTGAAACTTGATGCAAAAAGAGAGAGAAACAATGGATAAAATGAAAGATACGCAAGAAGCTCTATGAGGGCTTGGAGTTTGAAGCATTTGGAGTATTTTGAAGCTTTTAAATATTAGAGGTAAGTTTCTCAAGCTTAAATCTACCTTTCTTTTTCTCTAGTTAGAAAGTTAGGATTTTATTAATAATGGTGTTCAGTTCATAAAGGCTATGAGTTCGAACTCATTAACTTAAATAAAATACATGGGAATTGTTTAAACTATTTAAACCTAACATTTATGAATCTATGTGTTTTTGGTCATTGGAGGTCATAAATATTCAAAAATTCACCATTAATGAGGTGGTTGGGGCAATATGGCTCCATTAATGGCTATATAAGAGTTCAATGAAGTTAATGTGAATTAAAGAATAATGTGGTGCATTGCACATATTCATTTTAGTCTAGTAAATGTGGTATGGGTGGTGTTTGTAGCTTTTAGCATGAGTTTTAGGCACTCAAGTTATGTGAAAATGGTGAAAAAGAGAAAATTTTAAAATGAGTGTATAACTTTTTAGTGAGAGATAATTTGATTGCAAAACCAAAGTCAATAGTTAGAGTTAAAAAAAGTCCTCTATAAACATCTAAATCACATCAATCAGATATCAGACGGAGAAATGGGGCACGTCAAAAGTTGCCTCAAATGCTGTAAAATGACAGCAAAATTCTACTATCATGAAGCTACAATGCGCCACGACATATGGTATGAAGGCTCATGAGCCATGGTGCATGTCTTTGTTTTTGCACAAATTCATTGTTTTCTACCTTTACACAAATGCATTGATTCTTTTTGTGATTACATGCTTCCGCATATAAAATGAACTCTAATTTTCCATCGTAAACATTATTTGGGATGTTTTAAATATTGAAAACTTGGGATCCTACTTATAAAAATTTGACAAATTGTTATTTTCAATTTGAGACATCTCTTAATTGCTTGAGATTTGGAGTTAAATTGATAATAGTAAGGGAGATTTTACACTATTCATCCTAGCCTCCCTCTTCTCCAACAC